AGATCACCAACAAAAAGGGGACATTTGCATTGAGAGTGTAGGCACCGAAGATCAACTTGCTGATATATTCACCAAGCCATTGGATGAGAATTGGTTTTCTCAAATATGTGTTGAACATATTAGATTTCTCAAATATGTGTTGATGAACCCTCCACTTATATGACATGCTTCTCCTTCGAGCAATCCAAGGTAAAAGTTGATTGGCATGGCATACATCCTTACTAAGAACTTGTTTAGTGCATCTAGACATCTCTCACATTATATAGGCTCATTCATGAAAATCAAATGATTTTGATGATTGTATGGTACCACTATTGCTTCTATACTTATTTTGATCTAGTGGTAGCACATGACATGTTGTGGGCTTGTAAACCTAGTGTTTAATCTAGAAAATGAGCTCTAAGTGTTTAACTCAACATGGTACAAGATAACCCTTATTTGGAGGTGTGAAGAAGCTTGTCCTTGGATCAAACCGAGTTAAATATCTTTGGCAAATGATCTAGATTGGACCAAATTTGGGAAAATGATCCTCACCCCATTGATTAACATTGATAATACTAACCTATCTATAATTTAAGTCTTTGTGGTCATTAATGACAAAGGGGGAGAGAAACAAAGGTATAAGTGATAGGGGGAGAAATGGCAAAGATATTAATACATGGGGAGAAAGACAAAAGATATATTAGTGTACTAAGATGGTAAAAAGACAACAAAGAAGGATAATTTGACATAGGGGGAGAGATATGACAAAGGAAATGAATCAATTAAAATTTTGAGCACACAAGTAGGGGGAGCAAGTTCATGAACTTGTATGGTGCATTTGAATGTGCATTTCATATGTTTGCTTGCATGACACAAGTTTTAAATTTCAATATCCATGCTTGTGTGGTGTATGCTAGTGGTAGGTTTGAATGATGAAATAAAAAACTAGCATGCATAGTTTATCTAGTGATTTCATTTTCAAGTGTTGTTTCCAAGTGGTACAAGCTAACCATGATGCTAAGGATGGTATATTGGTGCACTCCGATTGGTATCACGCTTTAAAGGTCCATCTTTTATACCTTAGCATCATTTGGTAGACATTGTCTCCTATATTTCCTATCTAAGCATATGTGCAAGCTACAATCCAAACTCTTAGCACATATGTAGGGGGGAGCAATTGCTACCATTTGGGGTTCATGAAACTTGTTCATATCCTTTTACAAATGGTAAAAATGCTTCGACAAGCAATATGGATGCAATAAAATTTCAATTCATATCTTTGTGAAAGGGTTATCATCAATTACGAAAAAGGGAGAGATTGAAAGCTCTAGTTTAGTTTTGGTGAATTGATGAAACCCTAAGTGCTAGTCTAGTTTATCAAGTGATCATGAAATAGGTAGCACATTTCAAGTGATGAAGCAAATGAAGATCATGACATAATGATGGTGATGTCATGGTGATGATCAAGTGCTTGGACTTGAAAAGAAGAAAGAGAAAAACAAAAGGCTCAAGGCAAAGGTATAAATGGTAGGAACTATTTTGTTTTGGTGATCAAGACACTTAGAGAGTATGATCACATTTAGGTTTGATAGCCGTACTATTAAGAGGAGTGAAACTCGTATCGGAATGCGGTTATCAAAGTGCCATTAGATGCTCTAACTCATTGCACATGCATTTAGGATCTAGTGGAGTGCTAACACCCTTGAAAATATTTGTGAAAATATGCTAACACATGCGCATAAGGTGATACACTTGGTGGTTGGCACATTTGAGCAAGGGTGAAGAAGATAGAAGTAAAGATGAGTTGGTCTCACTGGTCACAAAGTGACCGAACGCTGGTCTCAGAGGAACCAGCGGTCCGATCAGTTGTAACAGCGAAGACGTTTGCGTCGATCAAACGACCGGATGCTGGGTCGCTCAGCGACCGGACACTAGAAGGCTGTGTCCGGTCATGTTGACGTGGCAGCACAGAGAAAGACACCGTGTGACCGGACGTTGGCTGTGTCCGGTCAAGCATGACCGGACGCATCCGGTCGGAAAAAATCATTTCTGGAAGCTTACTGGAAACCACCAGGCGTTGGGGGTTCATCGTCCGATCACTGTTAGCTGCTGCGTCCGGTCGTCTTATGACCGTTGAGATCGGGCGCGCAGCATTTGAAGAGAGGGACACGTGGCGTGCATCACGTGACCGGACGCTGAGGTCCAGCGTCCGGTTAATATGACCGGAGCGTCCGGTCACCCCGCGTTGAACCCAGTGAAGGGGTACAACGGCTCTATTTCGTGGGGGCTTCTATTTAAGCCCCATGACCGGTTCAAGCTCACTCTCTTGGCCATTTACATTGGCATAGCAACTTTGTGAGCTTAGCCAAAGCCCTTCCACTCATCTCCATCATTGATTCATCATCTTTGTGAGATTGGGAGATAATCCAAGTGCATTGCTTGAGTGTCTGCATTTAGAGGCACTTGGTGTTCGTGTTTCGCTGCGGGATTCGCTTGTTACTCTTGGTGGTTGTCGCCACCTACACGGCTTGGAGCAGCAAGGATCGTCGAGCGGAGATTGGTGATTGTCTCCGGCTCCGATCGTGGTGATTGTGAGGGGTTCTTGACCTTTCCCCGACGGAGAGCCAAAAGGTAATCTAGTGGATTGCCCGTGCCTTGTGTGATCCTCATCTTGTGTTGGTTGTGCGGCACCCTATTGAGGGTTTGACGTGTGAAGCCAATTAGCGCGTGAACCTCCAAGTGAGTGAATCGCCACAACGAGGACTAGCTTGCCAGCAGGCAAGTGAACCTCGGTAAAAAAATCATTGTGTTCATCATTTATTCCGAGGTGATTGATCTTCATTGTTTTTCATTCTTGTGATTGATTGGCTTCTTCGTTGACACGGTGGTATAACCTTCTTGATCATTCTCTTTACATTGCCACAAACTAGTTGTCAAGCTCTTTTGTCTAGCTAGTTATCAGAGATTGTTAGTTTGGTTGGTGTGGCTCTTTAGTTAGCTTTTGAGAGCACACTAACTTAGTGTAGTGACATAACTATTGTGTGGATACATACTATATAAATTAGAATTGTGGTAGGTGGCTTGTATTTTTTATAGGCTAGCGTAACACTTGTTTTGCCTCATAATTGTCTAACCAGTTTGCTAAGTGTTGTTGTAGAAATTTTTATTAGGCTATTCACCCCCCCTCTATAGCCATTAGGACCTTTCCCTAGGGTTTCGGCGAGCTCTGGGGTCCTATTCCCTCCTCACTTCGGTGAGCTCGAAGATGGTGGGCCAGGACTGGAGCAGCATGCACCTCGAACCCATCCCCTTGTTGTTTGTACATCATTGTTGTTTCTCCGTGTTGCAATGGGTTTTTTTATGTTGCAACAGATAATTTTCGAATGTTTTTATTTCCATGTTTCATGGTTGATTTTTGCGATGTTACGTTACTATTGTTTGAAATGTAGCAGTACATAATTTTCGATGTTGCAGCACATAATTTTTGATGTCGTAGTATATATTTTTTGACGTTGCAGTATATGTTTTTCGATGTTGCGCTACATAATTTTGCGATGCCGCAGTACATAAATTTTGATATTGCAGTACATATTTTCCGATATTACAGTACATATTTTCCGATGTTACAATACATGTTTTTCGATGTTGCACTACATAATTTTGCGATGCTGTAGTTTTTATATTTCGATGTTGCCCTATATAGTTTTTCATATGTTTACGACGCTGCACTTGAAATGTTTCGTGCTCTTGGAACAGGGGGCTTGGTGAGGGAACAGGGTTGCGTTGGGAAATGGAGACAGGGACGGGGTGGAGAACGAAAGACAGGGGCGCGGTTGACGCAATTCCATTTCATTTTATTCCGATCCGATTTATATTCGCGTTGCGGGGGCGGTCGGGTTTGGGAAGGGGAGTGGCGTCTGTATGCATCTCGCGCGCCGGACGTCCGGACGCTAGGACCGCCGTTGATATTTCCATTGAAATGGTTACTTTTTAAATGGCGTTGGTTTAATTTGTACGAATATATTTCCACGGCTAGTTTTGCAATGACAATCACCATGTTCGCTTGTTGCTTTCAGCCAGACTTATTCAACCAGCCAACAGTGTTTTTCTCTCACAACAAATCAGCACCAGCCAGCCCAAATCAGCCTAGAAACCAACCAGCGAACACACCGAATGTTTACTACAGCTATACTTTTAATGAATAAATTCCCAACGGACACTTTTGCGATAACTATTAAAATATTTAATGGCCAAAGAGGGGGTTCAATTAGATAAAAAAATTAAACAATCTTAGCCTATGCCAACACTACTTCACCACCCATTGCATTTTCATAGGACCAAGGCGCTAAGCCACTTCCTTAGCTTGATCACACAAGCAAATTGCCCTTAAGTGCAGAACTGACATCTTGCTAGTATATATCACACTAAGGAGTAAGGACCCATTTAGAACGCACGATTTTTCATGTTCTTGCATTTTCCAGTGAAAAATGAACTGATTCCTATAAAATTTGTATACATACAATTCCTGTGAAATTCCGATGTTCCAGAGAGCCATTAAAGCAAAAGCAACTCAATTTGCCAAGCCTTCAAGCACGCAAATATTGATAAGAATGTAAATGCATGGCATATGCCCTCATGCAGATCGAGTTCAAAGCACAGTGCGCTGTGCTTTCAGGTCTCGAGGTTACCTACCTCACCAGGAAATTTTACGGCTACATGCAAACTTAACTGAAGATGCCCTTTGAATTTATAGAGATTGATTGAAATATTCTTCAAATTCTGTCAGACCGAGGAGCCCAATTGAAAAGAAAATACAAAGAGAAGCATCAGGGTGATTCTGTAATACTAATAAATTATGTACAACCGCATTTCCAAAGGATCAATAATGAGCTTTACCACAACTAGACCTACAGAAGAATTTCCCAAAAATTGCAGCTGTTTCACCATAAGTTAAAGAGAGCCCTAGTCCTCATGGGTCAGGGCCACGAGAATTCTGGGGATCAGCTATTTGTCAGGATTCAAGATGCAGCACTGGCAAAGTAGTCCCGAATCGTTCTCCGTTTGAATGACGGCGGTGGGCTCAGAACAGAAGAGGGACTGCTCATCTGAGCTTCCGGACTCTTCTTTGCATCAAGGGCCTCCTCCTGGAACAATGTGAAGGCCCTCTTCTTTGTCGATTCAGGAGTGCCGAAGTCCAGTGCTCTGGGTTGAAGGGGAGAGTGGCAACCGCTTTGCAATTCACCATCACCACTAGTGCAGGCTACTGCATCTCTTGATGTAGTAGCATGCTCGTGGGTACTGGACCTTCGGTACTCAGTGTTTGGTGCAGTTATCCGCTTACGAATCACTGTTGGTGAGCTTACATTTGTGCAGTCCATTTTCTTGGTACTCCACACACGTACCTGATACACAGAATACAGAATTGTCACATGTTCTGAATTCTGATTCATTTCATACTCTGCTATGTATTGCTTTGCTCACAAATTGTAGATGCTTGTCTACAACAGACTGTCGCAAACACATATTATATATTGAACAAATGGAGCCATCTTTAGTATGTGTCAAGAAAAAAATTCAGGCATAACCAAGTAGACTTACCGTAGAATCATCAGAAGATGTTGCTATCTTTCCAACCTCTGATGCACACCTGAAATATAAATTCATATTGAAGCATGAGGATTGGGTTATCAGTAAGGGTTCCACAGAAATATGTATGTTTGTAGATCGTACCAGTCAACCGAAGTTGCTTCGCCTTCATGGCCATTCAAAACTATAGGACCACTTTCAGGTTGATCCACCTATGTCAATGGACAAGCGTGGATGTAAATATTATAATGATGTATAGTGTAAGAAAGCAGGCAATGGATCTGCGACAAATACCTGCCACAGGTATACATTTCCATCACTTGATCCACCAAGGATGTGAGTTCCATCAGGACTGATCGCAGACTGCATGGCACAAAGTTTAGGTGTTTCAGAACGTATATTGATCAAACTAAACATAAGCATCTCTTTTGGACATTTAAAGGAAGTCAACCCCAGATGGCCACTCACTGACCTTGACAAAGAAAGACTCAATTTTGCTGCCAGTGTAAACCTTTATGGGACCCTTGTTCACATGGAGAACACTGTACAAATATATTCTGAAATGCATACAGTCAAAATCAGTATTTACCAATGGCATGAAAACTATTTAGTGTCTGATGGCAAGGTCTGAATTTACCTGTTATCCATACATGACGCAGCAATGTATGCACCATACGAATCTTGAGACAGGCAAGAGATGCCATGTTTCACCCCCTCCTTGAGAAACAAAGGACAAGTTTGTTCAGATTGAGCTAGGAAAACACAGCACACTGTAATTATCGATTCAAACTGGCATACATGTTTATACTCTGAAATACACGATTCTATTGCTTACTACTAGTTTTAACATTCTTTAGTGGATAGAGATGTTTACCAAAGGCTGGGTCCCTGCTTGAGAGTTTTTGTTGGAGACCGGCACTTTCAGGTTCCGTGTATCCCATATCTTCACAACACTGGCATACATTTAAATTAGTAAAATATTAGTATTTCAAGATATATGAAAAATACTCTACAAAACTGGATTTTTTTTAGAAACAGAATGAGTAGATGACATGAGGCTAACTCGTCATCAGGTAAGTGCATTGTGTTCACAATAATATCACAGTTAATAAAACTATCCAAACCATACAAAAACTGTGAAGGTTGGTAAAAAATAAAAAGCAGAATAAAAATGAAAGAGCAGCTTACTTGTCTGCGGCTCCAGAAGTAGCAATGGAGACATCATCTTTCAGATAAAGAACTGATGTGATACTTGTTGAAGCCGCCTAAATTCACCAATTTCAGCAAACCAACATAAGCATAAGAGGACTAAGATCATCACAAGCAAAAGCTATATCATGCAGATTTAATACCTTTGCTCGAGACCGGGTCCGATTCCTCTGTATGGGACTGTGGGCTTCTCTGACAACAGCAGAAGACCTAACATGTAGCACAACTTTGTTCAATGAATTTGTATTGTTGTTACAAACATTTATGATCACTTAAAAATTTGTAGTTGAAAGAGAACATTTACTAGCAATAGGACAACATACGTGAGGCACGTTTCACCATGGCTGTTTGGAGATTTAGGGTCACATCTTAAATCCCAAAGAGCAAATGAACCATCCCTTGAACCGGAAACAATGAGCTCTGCAAAGAAAATAAACTACTTAAACAGGAGTTTGTGGCCAACCTTTGAGGATTAAATGTGCATAAAAATAAACTGGAAGGTTGTTTCAAAAAAAAAAACTGGAAGGTTGTTTCAAAAAAATAAACTGAAAGGCTTCAGCTATTCAGGATATACATTACTAACCAGGATTTGAAGAATGGCAAGACAGCGACTTCACGCTCCCAGTATGTCCTGACAAGACACCGATGCATTTCCTGTTTCCCACACTCCATATTTTGACCTGATGCAGAACGATGATAATGAGATTTTGTGGAAGACAAGGAATTCACAGTTCAATAAACTGACGCGATCCTGTTGCGACTTACAGTTTGATCGCCCGATGCAGTCAGTATTTGGGACCCATCCTGCATTAGTAACACATAAGATTGAAACTCCGTCAGAAAAGTACACGCATCGCTGAAATTTTAAGTTTTTAACCTGAGGATCAGCTCTTTCGTTGGACTGTTCCAATCAGTGCAATGGAATTTACCTTGATCCAGCACACGTCAAAGATTGCATTGTTGTGAGCAACCCAGTCGGACACCCTCGTTTCAGCTGAAAAGGACGACGTCAGATTGGAACAGAACGGATCGCACGAGGTACCCACTGTAAGGTCGAGAACACCCAAATCTTGGATCAAATCGGAGGAACAGGGAAGGTTTCCAACCCACCTGACTTCTCTAGTGACGAGGATGCGGAAGGGAGGCGCCGGCGGGTGTCGTAGAGGCCAACGTACCCGTCTTCGTCGGCGACCGCCAGGAGGTTACAGGTCTGTGCAGTCTGGACGGATGAGGAAAATCAGCAAAAGATTGGCACTCGCAAATCGCGGCTAGAAAGAAGATTTGACTTTGCAAAAGCACACGGGACGAATGAGAGATCCCTTGTTTCAGAGGGAAAAAAAACAGATCCCAGGCTCCGAACCTTGCCGAAGGAGATGGCGAAGGGGATGGCGGCGTCGCCTGAGTGGTCGACGGCTATGACCCCACCGCCGCGGATGCCGGGGTCGGAGGAGAGGTCAGCGAGGTACGGGAGCCCCGCCATGGCGCGGGAGCAGCCACTGGCGCCACCGAGCTCCCGGGCACGGAGCCCGCCGAAGAAAGTCGGAGAGAGGCGCCGCCGCGTCGCCATGGGAGTCAGAGAGAGAGAGATGGGCAGAGGCGCAGACGGAGAGAGGGAAAGGAAATGGCGGGCGGGCATTGAGCGCGAGGGGTTTAATGGAGGAGGATTCTGCCCCGCCCCGCGCGACGCGCGAGGGACGCGCCGGCGGGAAGAGCTTTTTCGTAATCGCGCCCCGCGAAAAAAGAAGCCGCGGGAGCTGCTGCCGCGCTGGTTCTTTCGCTGCTGGATTTCGTGGGCGATGCCTCACTGGCAGGTAGGCCCAGGGCGCACCAGGTTCTTGAGCTGGGGGCACCGCGGGTTTCGTTCCGTTCGGGACAAGATTCTGAAAACATGTTTGCAAAAGACGCGGTCTTTGCGGGCTTGGCGTGGATCTGGCCATTGGGCGTTGTCAATGATGGGCCGCTACGATCAAAATTTGCAAGGTTTCTCAAGAAAATAACCTCCCACTATAGAGAGAACTATAGAAAGTTTATATGAGGGGGTTAAAAATATCTTCGATAATACTTTGACATGGGCGCCCACACATCCACCTCACTGTTGTTTTTCCCCGCACCTCGCTCCTGCCCGCGATGTCGCTCGTCCCATTCCGCTCCGCGTTACGCTTCAGTCCTTCACGGCTCCTCCAAAAAAAACAGCGCTGCTCGTCTTCTCCATCACAGGGGCTGCTCGCCGCGAACAGTGCTCCCGCCCGCCACGGCCTTCTCCAGCACGACGGTGCCGCACCCGGACCCATCCCCGTGCTGCTCCGTGTCCAGCGCCACGCCCTCATCCACCTTACCCGTCGCGGAAGGGGAGGCCTGCGCCTGCACCCCATCCACCTCACACCGTTGGTAGGAAGGGGAGGCGACGATGTGTTTCAAGTGTTTTAGGCGTTTTTAGACATGTTGCAAGCATATGTTTCACGTGTTTCAATTATTTCAGACGTATGTTTCAAGTTTTTCGTTTTGATGTTGCATATGTTGCTATGTCTACAAGCATGTTTCAAGTGTTTCATCTGTTTCAGAACGTCTATTGCAAGTGTTTTTATCTGAATGTTGCAAGTGTATGTTCCGAATGTTTCATCCATGTCGGTGTTTCGAGTTGCCACCAACAAGTAAATTTCTAATATTGCGCGTCTGGCTCGGATGGTGTGCTAAGAGGACACGAGGTTTATACTGGCTCGGGCAGAATGTCCCTACGTCCAGTTCGTTGCTGCTGCTCGTGTTACTAGCACTAAAAGTTCGTAATAGGGGTTACAAACGGTCGAGAGAGGGACAGGTCCCAAGTCTCTAGTGAGAGGAACGAATGGGTGCCGAGAGCTCGGTCGCTTCTCGGCTGTGTGCTTGTGTGTTCTAATCGGTTCAGGGTTCGAGTCCGAATCGGTGTGATGTATTTCGATGCGATCGATTCGAGTCGAGTCCGATGCCCATTGTGGGATGCCCTGCTTTTCCTTTTATAGGCCAAGGGAAAGCACGGGTTACAGTGGAGAAAAAGAAGAGAACGAGAGGAAGAAGTCCTTTAGGATCGCTGGGTCCATCTCCTCTATGCGGGTCCCGTCGACCACAGAGAGCGCTAATAGGGACAACTTCTCGTCAATCGCCCGTCTGGCACACCGGTGCCATGTGCGCATCGCCTTCTTCGGTCATGGCACTCCACTTCGCCCCGACGGACATCGTGGTGGAATCCCACGCCGCGCCGTCGGTGTTCGTCTGAGGGGTTAAGCGAAGCAAGACTTTGCACGCCTGACACCGCTCCTCGACGTGAACCCCTGTGTATGGCCCGTCGTGGGTCGCAGGCTATATCGAGGCGTGCCAGTCTCTTCCCTAATGTCAGAGCTTTGACCCAGGCCCATACGCTTGGACCTAGAGTGGTTGGTGGCGGTATGGGTCTCCGTCGGCCGAGACAGAGTCCCCGGCCTCGGGGTCGGGCGAGGCGGAGTTCCTCCCCAGAGGCCGGGCGAGGCGGAGCGCAAACCCAAGGCTCAGCGCGAGGCGGAGCCCAAACCCAAGGGTTGGGCGAGGCTGAGCCAGCCCTTAGAGGTCGGGCGAGGCGGAGCCCGCGGCATCGGTGTCGGGCGAGACGGAGCCCGTCCCCAGAGGTCGAGCGAGGTGGAGTCCGCCCTCAGGGGTCAGACGAGGCGGAGCCCGTAGCCTCGATGTCGGACAAGGCGGAGCCACCCTCAGGGGTCAGGCGGCGGCCACTTGCTCAAAGGTCGAGCGAGGTGGAGCCCATGCGGCCTCGGTGTCAGGCGAGGCGGAGCCACCCGTGGGGTCGAGCGCGGAGCCCGCGGCCTCGGTGTCGGGCGAGCGGTGGAGCCACCCTCGGGGGGTCGAGGCGGGGGGCCCGCGGCCTCGGTGTCAGGCGAGGCGGAGCCACACTCGGGGGTCGAGCGAGGCGGGGCCCATGGCTTTGCTCGGTGTCAGGCGGCGGAGCCACCCTCGGGGTCAGGCGCGAGGCGGGCCCCATGGGCCTCGGTGTCAAGCGAGGCGGAGCCACCCTCGGGGTCAGGCGAGGCGGGGCCCGTGGCCTCGGTGTCGAGGCGGAGCCAACCCTCGGGGTTGGGCGAGGCGGGCCCCGCGGCCTCGGTGTCAGGCGGCGAGCCACCCTCGTGGGTCGGGCGGGGGGGGGCCTGCGGCCTCGGTGTCAGGCGAGGCGAAGCCACCCTCAGCGGTCGGGTGAGGCGGGGCCCGTGGCCTCGGTGTCGGGCGAGGCGAAGCCACCCTCAGCGGTCGGGTGAGGCGGGGCCCGTGGCCTCGGTGTCGGGCGAGGCGGAGCCAACCCTCAAGGGTGGGGCGAGGCAGAGCCCGCGGCCTCGGTGTCGGGCGAGGCGGAGCCCGCGGCCTCGGTGTCGGGCGAGGAGGAGCCAACCCTCAGGGGTCGGGCGAGGCGGAGTTTGCGCACTTGGGGGTCGGTTGGAGCTGTAGTTGTGCTCTTGACTGCTCGGACGAATCAATGTTGATAGTTATTAGCTCCTCTTCGGGTACCCTAGTATTGGTCCCCGACAATCCGTATGTTGCAATTGTTTCATATGAGTGTTGCAAAAGTAGATCTAGATGACGTGTGGAGGAAGCCTAAGCCCTCGGTGGCGAAGGTGAAGGCCGCGAACACATGAGCGGCGGGGACGGGAGGCCGTGGTGGATCGATCGGGATGCGCATCGGGATGGGCGTGGAATCACACCATGGAGGGAGTTGCGTCGGTCGGGGCGCAGACGCGGGAGCTCCGGGATGGGCGGATGCTGCCTCCGGAGTGGGATGTGCCCTAGTAAAGGGAGTTGTGTTCATCGAACATGCACGGGACCTACGTTCGGACGGACGCTACATCCGAACGTCCGGGCGCTAGTAATACCCAAATATCTTTTGTGAAAACATGTGTGTGCAAACCTTTTCTTATGGTGTATGCACGTCCAACCTATCTCTAGTACATCATACAAAAAGTCTTAGATAGTATATCACAAAATTTGAAAAGTCACAAGAGATATCATTTGTATGCAAATGCTAAGAAACAACTAGAAAGCCCCATGTAATTTACAGCATGTTTTGTTGTGAGAAAAAAATACTACCAATAGGGCCAATAGGGCCTGTTCGGCTGGTATTAAAGTCGGCTCTGTTTTGTTGTGAGAGAAAAATATTGTAGATTCTCGCTGATAAGCCGGCTGATAAGTTCAAACGAACAGGCCTAGAATGAGGCAATCCACGATCCAGAATGATTCGATCCTAGAAACGAAACTAACAATATTGTTTGGTTTGCAGCGTGGAATCACACCATTCATCGCTGAGTGCTTTCACGGAGAGTTAATTCTAAGCGATTATGAGGAACCAACGGCCACGTCATTCCACAAAAAGTGCCAGACGACTCGTTCTGTTTTTTACAAGTTCCCGTAATGCTGGATGAATTCTGTCGGGGACCTAATACCAGGGTACCCCAGAAGGTGGAACCGATGACCACCGAACGTGAAAAACTTCTAGATGCATAAGGGCTCCATGTCATCCCTTGTTCGAGTGACAGGAGTTCGGTTCCGCCTCGCCCGACGCCTTGAGGGCGGGCTCGGTCTCGCCCGAGGGTTGAGGGATGAATTCCATCTCGCCCGACCCCGGAGGGGCGGGGTCAGCCTTACTCGACGCCTTTGTAGGATAACCCTGCCTCGCCCCAAAAGCTCAAGGCTAATCTTCGTCTCGCCCGACGCCTATAGGGCGGGCTCGGTCTCGCCCGAGGGCCGAGGGATAAACTCCGCCTCGCCCGATGCCTTGAGGGCGGGCTCGGTCTCGCCCGAGGGATGAATTCCGTCTCGCCCGACCCCGGAGGGGCGGGGTCAGCCTCACCCGATGGCCCAGAACGAGCCTCGCCCTGATCGATATCTATCCCTCATAATGATGGGTACAGGACGAGACAAGACGTTCGGGTCAACCATGGCTCCAACGACCATACCCTGCGCCCTGGCAGGAAAAGGACTGCCAGAGAACGACAGGACTGAAGCTTTAGACCCTTTCGGGCGCCGCAGAGCCCAAAAGGTATTACAGGTGCGTGCACCTCACCCTGTAGAGTTGTAGGCGCCGCCTTCAGCTCTGGGACACGGAACCCGACGAAGATATACGACAACCGCTACGCTCCAGGAAAGGAATTGCTATCTCCACGAACGATGGGTATTCCGTCACCACACGGTGGACCGAGGAGCGGCGCCCGCTTCCCGACCCTCGGGTCCTCCCGGTCGGAAGGCCTTGACCACGGCGTTACACCGACCCCGACCCGCATTCTCCCAACAAGGACTCATGAGAACCGTATATGTGGAGCAAGGTGGGGAGGCTCATAAGTCAAAACCAGCATCTTTGCGGCCCATACCTGCGGGGCAAGATTCTCGTGACTAACCTCGACATCCTACTGAGACAAATACAACATTGTAAACACTTATCTTCCTTCGCACTCATCGAGTGGAGGACCTGACCAGTGAGCGTGAGCCACAAGATTAAGTAGAGTACGCGTCCCGGAGCCCTTACCCTTGTAAAGTCGGCCCTTCATCTATAAAGGGGATGCG